CCCCCCCCCCCCCCCCCTTTTTTCAGCCATTTGATTAAACCTGCCGAAATTTGTATGGCCGGTCAAGTAGAGAGGTTCACAGTTCAAACTTCAAACCTCAACATTATTGTATGATTTTGAAAATTGAAATTGATTTTTTGAATTTTTGCAATTTTTTTTTTCCAGTCATTGTTTCGGAAATCGGTTCGTTTGGGGCAATTTGATCTCTCAACGTGTCGATAAACTGTTCTAGGCTTCTAGCTAAGGTTTTTTTTTTTTTTTTTTTTTTTTTGGGTACCATTCAGTCACCAGGAAGGTACAAAGCTTACAGTTTGTCAATACCTCAAGTACAAAAAACGCAAGAAATAGGGCCTCTTCCACTACTCAACATTCGACGTGTATCTGGACAGTTATTCTGAGCAGGTACATTTCGACCAATCGAACGTTTCCAGTGCATTGGGACCACTAGTAGCTCTAGATACATAATACATATCAATTGTTGTGCAGTAGAGTGAGGCCCGTAGTCACCCGGCACCTGGCTCTGGCGTCTAATAATATTATAAATTATTAAATTATAATATACTAATATACGAATATGAAATATAATTCAAATATTAAGAATCCTCTGAGATATCAGAAATGGGAAATTTGGAGTTTGAAATTTTAAGCTTGACATTTGAAATTTGAAATTTGAAATTTGAAGGTTGACATTTGACATTTGAAATTTGAAATTTGAAATTTGAAATTTGAAATTTTAATTGCACACCTGGAATTCACATGGACTGGCTGTGTGGTCTGCCATTCTTCCTGCCTTGTGCATCTGCGGGTGGGACTCCATCTCCCATCTGTCATCGGTCATTTCTTTTTCTGTTTAAACAGCGCCCCATCATTTTCGCCCTCTCCAATCCGACGTCCAAGTCTGAGTGCACAGCAGCTGAGGCATTGACCATAACGCAGGTGAGTCAACCAGTCAGTGGTCGTGCTCGCGGTTCCAAACTTCCAAAGCGCAATTTTTTTATTTTTATTTTTATTTTTTTTGGTGCAATTTCGGAACATGGTGTAAATAAGTCTATGGCATCTGTGAGCACGCATGTGAGCATGCGTGTGTGTCTGTGTGTGCATATGTTATTATGTTTGCATTTTTTTTTGGCGTTTTGGTGTGTGTGTCTGTCTTGAGAGGAGAG